GGAAAAATATAAGATATTAATCTTCCAGTTTTAATTAACAAACTCGGCTGTATGAAAGCAAGCTTTTCCTTTTTATCTTCAGCGCGCGAAACTGCCTATCGGAATTTCTAAAAATAAGCTGTTTTTAAATATTGTTAGACCAAAGGAAGATTAGCCCAAACGTTCTCGAAACGTGTATATGTATGTAAATGAAGAAAATGCCATTTCAGGCGTAATACAAAGTGTGAAAGTTTTCAGATTTTTATCTAATTATACAAGTATTTTTTATGGCTATCGAAAACTTATGGTCATCTTACCCTGTGGCTGCCACTTTGCCTTCCCTACATCTACGTAGGCGGATCAGTTAAAACGGCTGGCAATTAATAAATCCGAAGAACTCTTACTCTCAAAAGAGCCTTTCTTTTCCCTTGAGAAAAAGAGGAGGTTGTTCTAGCATCAACAGCAGCAAATAATGCCTTAATAGTAGATTAATGGTAAATGCAGGTATTTACGAATTAACGGAACGTGTCAGGAAAAGGGGATTTATTGCCTTCCCCGTTCTTTTCTCTCCCCCTCTCACTTTTATTCTAAAAGTAAAGCAAATGAAAAAGATTCTTTGGCCATATCCATGGAAATTTTTTATTATTCGTTCTAAATAAATAATCCACTATTTTTCAAAGCTTTGTGGGTTTTTTTTTTTTTTTTTTTTTTTTTCTAAGCAGGATGGCTGGCTTTTGTGTAACTTTCTTGATCTTGTTTCATACGTATTTAAATTTTCCTTGATTGTTTTGAAAAAAAGTTGAAGGGTAAGAAACGTTAAATGTAATTATTACTTTTAGAATATGATAAAATTTATGTGTTTATTTCATTACCAAAATCGCTTTTCCTTTTGTTCTGTCGTTACTGATAATCTGTTTAAAAAATTTTACTTAATTGTTATGAGAGCAGATGACGTGATAATGATGAAGGAAAACTGAAAATGTTTAAAAAACAAATTTATAAAATATAGCACACCATCGCTAGCCGGCGCGCAAATTATCATTCTCTAGCCGAGTATATTGTTGCGAAATGCAGAGCTGTGGTAAGATAACTTCCCTGCAAATCGTGGTTGGGGTTGCCAGGAAGTGGCAGGGAAAGTTAGGTTTGCCAGGTTTGGCACGGAATCACCCATTTGGTGACAAAATCGGCGATATGCCTTAGACGAAGCGAGAAAGATTTCTTAGCGGTTTTCCTCGGGAATGTTCTCGAAGGTAGGTTAGAGCTATATATATTTGCCTGTACGCAGAGTAAAGTATCTACAGCAGCGATTCTCAACCGGTGGTACGCAAGAGAAAAATAGATTATGCGCAAAGAAACAAAGTATTTTTAATTATTAAATTCAAAAATCTCGTGAAGGAAAAGAACACTTGATAGAAATTTTCTGTAATCGAACTTCAACTGAAAATTTAAAAAACAACATACTTGTTAATTTTTGGCTGAAAATAAAACTATTAAATTTTTATTGCCTTCTTGGCACAACCTATTTGTGTGAACAAGGATTTTCCTCCGTGTCATATTTGAAAAATAAATACAGAACAAAATTAAAAGTGTATCTTAATTTACGGTTAAAATTAAGTGAAATAAGACCGCGTGTAAACGCATTGATCTCTCTTAAACAGGTCCAAATTTTGCACTAAACTTTAGAATTAAAGTATTAAAACTTAAATTTTGATAATAAAAATGATAACCAATTTTTAATCTGATACATTTTTATGTGTGCATATTTAATACAAATAGGCAATAGATTGTGCAAATGGCAATATATGTATTTTTTTAATATTTCTAATGAGGAATTATAAAATAATCCTTGTAATAAATGTAGTGGTGGTACTAAAGTTTTTCAGTTTCTGTTTAGATGGTACGCGTTAGTCAAAAGGTTAAGAACCGCTGATCTAGAGTATTTTGAGTTCAGTAGTAGAGTTTTGAGTTCAGAGATTAGCTTGAGAGCGACCAAACCAAGTCGGGAGCTGTATTTTAGTGCTTTGCCGTGAAACTGTCTTGTCGTTGTAGCCTGAAGGCTGTGTCGCTGATTGTTTCAGCGTGTTTATCGTGCATTCTCGACGACTGTAAACGTGTCTTTGGAGCTGTTCTGTGTAATACTGGCAAATAAATTATGTTTTGATTCTTCATTAAGTGTTATCCGTCAGTTACTCCAAATCCACGAACCCGTAGAATGCAACAATATGATGTATGGCGAAAAACCGTTAGAGAAGAAATGTCTTTGATTGATAACACTAACGATATAGAGATATGTATAAAAACTAGCAGTCAGATTTATAATAAATTGTATTACCTAAATATATGATTAAAAACCCAACAAATATAAATATTGATTAGAAATACGTATATTCTTTTTAGATCTCTCAGTTTTGTAGATTGAAAACAAAATGAAACTTAGAAACATAATTAAATTATAGATCAAAATATACACCCACATAAATGAGATCACATAAAGATAAAGATGACATAAATTAAAGATCTTCATCGGCATGAATGGCAACAGCTTTCAGAATAGCAGTTTGCCAGTTCGCATGATTAAAGACCTTTTCTCGTATAATTCGCAAAATTTCTTATAACTGGCAACTGCAAAAAATCTGCGACATTGACTAATACTGTGGTGCATTAGCATGCTACGAATAAAAGAAACTGTATATATTTCTACCGTTAAAAGGGTTTTTTTTATGACGGGCACAAGCCATTTTTAGGCTTTCGCCTCTATTAAGGCTAGAAGTGGTGGGCATTTTATTATGAAGGTACCTAACAGGTGGCTACCGTTACTTCCTATGAAGATTTACATCCATGTCTTCTTCGGGATTTGAATTTAGGCCCTTCCGTATCGAAGTCGGCTCTTCAAACCACTACACCGTCTGGGTGGCTTAAAAGAAACAGTATTATAGAAAAGATATAATTGTTTAGGATTCTACACCATATATCTAAAATGAGAATGGTTTTGTAGTAAAACATAAAAAAAAAAGCATCAGTCGCACAAATATAATTTTGATAGAAAATGAATGCGACTTTTTTAACACTTTTAATTAATTCAGTTACCATAGCAAAAATTTACAAGCAAAAAATAATTTTAAAATATTAAATAGAACTTGTTTATTAAAATTTTTGAAGGCGTTTTATCCGTTTTCGAGATTACACATTTACCTATACTGAAGTTGTGAGTTACTTATTTCTTTTTGTAGAATTTTCAAACAAGTTTATGTTTTAAATCTAATTAGCTGACTAATAATAACTACTGAAAAGAGCCTTATATTATTATGTTTCATGTAAGTTGTGAAAACTGAATATTCTCAGCAAGAAAAATTGTCATTAGGTACTTTAAATATAACCATCGAGAATGGTAACTGAAAAAGTAACTTCTCTTCGATATTATTTCCTTACATGACTTGATAAATATTTGAGCCTTTGAGACTTTTGCTACTTTATTTGCATAAGATGTTTCACTTATTTTTCCAACAGCGTTAATCCCCTTTAGTTATTTCCAATCAACGAAACAAGGTTTGTGTAGCGAAATATAAGAAAAATGTGTTCTTTCTAACAATATAGTATTGCTTTTTTAAACGCCAATTTTCTTCTTATTTAAGTCTTTGATGCTTAGATAGGACCACCAATGGCGGAGTAGTTAAGACCAGAGAATACTGGTAGTTCGAACTGGCTTGAGTTTGACCATTATCTTGATGGAACATTACCTTTTTGCGTTCCTTCATTTCGAAGTTTTTTCTTGATAGAAGCGTCAACACAGACTGGCATCGCACTGTACACCTTACTGTCCGAGGGTTTTAACTTTTTACATATACTCTGTATGCATATACTTTAAATTTACGCGGCAATTCCACCAGATACAAAGCATTGCGACGCTGTCGACGGGTTTACGGACGCAGACTAATACCTTTTAGGCCTGTGTTGTTGAAGTAGTAAATCCACTTCCTTCCACAGTGTCACATGACACAACATTAGTACATAAAGCTGTAACATGATTCGGTGACATTCTGTAGCTGACTTTTTGGAACAGAACCGGAATAAATGATGGTTCTAAACTGTTAGTGTGATAGTTCCATTTCAGACACCTTAATAATAACGATATGATTTTACAAATTTCACAACACAGTGTTCTAAAGCAAGGCTCTTTTTTTTTTTTTTTTTTTTTTTTTTTTTTCAAATGCCAAAAATCGTTTCACAAAATATGGTTAAACACGCCAACGAGAACTGTTTGCGCAGACGATATTGGCGGTGGTAGGAAACTTTCGTTGAAACCAGATATTTTGTTTACTCACTTTTAAATAATTTACAACTCTTCCCCAGACTAAAATGTGTTATGCCACTGTGTTATTAAACTTAAACATAGACCTGAGACTTTTAAGTATAGGTTTGTGACTTATTTTTATAATATAAAGTAGGCATTTTATTTTGATTCCATCCAAGAAAACTGAACTTCAAATGCATCCTATAGAGAATATGGATGTTCTGATTTAAAGTACTCTCGATGTAGGTATTCAGGATTTCTTGCACTGCTTTCACGAAATCACCGTCCAAATGCACATTTTAATGTATGAGAAATCTTTATATCAATTTATTTAATAGATTTTTAGCCTACAGTTACTACAAACTTAAAGCCTTATCTACATTATGAAGCCCGATACACATATCTGTAACTGTTGCAATCGTAATACAGACTGAAAAATGGACAAATCAATTTTGTCGCATATTTTTTTTAGTCATGTGACAATGCCATCATTCTAAGCGAATTCTTAACAAAATAAGAACGCATTTTACAGATATCAATAGGAGCATATTTCTTGTTAAATATAGCAGGCGTTTACCAAAGACACCTTTGACTGCTCTTTGTATTCGACTGATAACAGTAATTTACATTTGTAAATTAATTTAAGCAATAATTCTAATGTTTATGTAAGACATGAAGAGTAACGTAGCATATCTGAAACTCCAAATGCTAATATTTAAATCTTTTCTAGGTACTAGAAGAAAGAAGCTTAGAAAGAAAAACTATCAGCTCTTTGAAAAAGCAAAGAACGACAGAAGAACCTGACTTGAGGAATGTGGCCATTCAAACTGATTATCAGAAGCCTCCTACTTGTCGTTGCCAGCATTCTTCAAAACAACGGTCAATAACAGCAGAATGTGACAATCTCAGATCTCCTAAAGACATGTGCATGCTGAACAGTACAGAAACTGCTATTTAGCACAAAAGGACAACATTAAGATTTATCAGAACTGTCAATAAGGCAGTCAGTGCTCTTAAGTTTTTAATCCTCCTAATCTAATAAATGGGTTGAATTTTTTTTTTTTTTTTTTTTTTTTTTTTTTTTTTTAAATTTATTATAAAATTATTCTAAAAATCAATGGATTAGAACTAAATTTGGAATGGAATTTTGGGACCAATATTTAAGTAGATTAAAACTAACTTCTTAAGAAAATTCCGAATTCATGTAATTAATTAGTTGGGAAAATGATGGTGTAATTTATGTTTCCTTCAAAAACAAAAGTAATAAAATAGTAATAAAAATGTGACCAGGTGAAAAGAGAAAAGAAAACAGACGCGAGTCTGATTGCAACAGAAACCTTTCACGGTGATAAAAATAACAAGCGATTGTTTATTACATTGTCAGTAATACTTATACAGCACGTAACCAAGGTTAAATTCCTGTAATGAAAACTGCTAATTAACACCAAAATTCCCTAACAGAATTTAAATTGATTTCAGTTCTTCTTAAATTCAGTTTTGAAAGTTTTTACTACCTTCTCTAAAAAAAACTTCTGAAAAAAAAATTTTATGCATTACTTCCAATACACTTATTCCTTTAGTTATTAATAAGCATACTGGATTATTAATAAGCATAAAGGATAAAACATGAAGAACTTTCATTTTTTTCATATCTAAACAAAATATATACTCCTTTTTCTCTCTCACATTATTAATTTATAAATGTTTCACAAAGTTTGCAAATTTATTTGTTAAATAATTTCAATTACTTAGATGTTGAAAATATTTGAATTTAAGATTTATCAAAAATAATCTCCAAGGAGTTTTCTTTCTCCTTTGCAAAACAGACTTAATGCAAGAAATGTTTATATGCTAACATTTCTTGTTCAAATATTTCAAATGAGGATCATGTTAAAAGACAATAATACTTCTTATAACAGATTAAATGGAAAAAGTTTAAACACAAAATCTCTTCAATTAAATTTCGGAAATATATATATATATATTTTCCTTCACTGCAACTTACGTATGTCATATTATATTTGCAAAATTAAGCAATAATATGTGTCAGTTTCCAACCAAATGGTCACATGAAAGGCTATGTGTCCTGTACTGCTATGTGTACATAAAAGTCTGTGTGTGGGGGGTTAGTGGTGAAATTCCACTCATGCAGGTACATCTTGCAAAGAAAAAAGGGGGGACCGTTCTTGTCTCCCGTTCTACTGGACAGATTGATGATATTTATTTTTTTTTTCAGCTCTCAAAAGCACGAATTAAGATGTATATTAGATATATATATACCATTGTTATAAGATAGGTATTCTATTCTGACACAAAATCAGACTTTTTCTGAAATGCCATAACACGTTTTTTTTTTTTTTTTTTTTCCCCATATTTCGATTCTACGACTCAAATTATACCTAGATATTAAATTTTGTAAAATCTGATGAGAAACCTGCCAAGATATTTAAAAATTTCCCTTGGCGCGCATTTTTCAGTTTGCGCCAAGAATTATTCACTTCGCGAAATTTTGAATTTATGGTAACCAATTTTCCTTTCCCTTTCACTGTGCATGAGTGCAATAAAAGGTGCATTGTTCATTCTTTCAAAAAACATTTAGGTTAGGTTAGGTTATTTAATTACAGCAAAGCCTCGAGAGCTATCTGCCCTAAAAGGAGGGATGCCTTCGTGGAGGACTTTTTAAGGGAAACTGGCTCGTATACACGTTACACATGGGGAAAACCACGAAAACACCCATGCAGCCAGCCTGTTCGCGGGATTTGAACCTCGGACCGAACTACCAGTGTTCAACGACTTTACCGCTCGGCCGCTCAAAAAAGTTTTAAGCAGCATATTCACATTTGTCGTTATTATCGCTTATAACAAATATGCTAAATTTCAAAACGCGCCAATATATAAATTCACGTATATCTTCGGAAATACTGAATAAAAAATTCTAATTTTTTGCAAGTATGCCTAGAAGTACATCTACTTTAAGATGATGGGGAAAATGTTAAAGGTTATATAATTCAAATTTTTTTTCGGGAAATTTATAAAAATAACTAAAAAACACAAATTTTAAAAATAAATCAGAAAATTGCTGCGAATTTTATTTGGGCCGAATCTAAATTACAAATTGTGAAAGAAGAAATCCATTAAGTTTAATAAAGAAATATTAATAAATATATACCACAGTCAATTAACACAAAGGAGCTAAAATTTCGAAAGCTAATTTTTAAAAAAACTATTCGTGCGATTTTTACAAAGCTTGGCATTTGGCATAATCTGAGTCGTAGAAACAGAAAAAATAGTTATTTCATTTCAGAAAAAGTCCGATTTTGTGTCAAAAAAACTATGTTAGAAAAATGTTATATGTAAATGTAATATATATCTCAAGTCGCTGAGCATCTTAATAAAACGTGTCATATCCTTTTTTTCCCATTTCTTCTTCTTTTAGTTTCCCAGTGCACATAAAAGTTAAGTTCATACTCATACTGTACGCACTGCAAAACAGCGTACACTTTTTGCTTTCATATCATGCATAGGATTGGAGGAGTAGCGTTTTTAAATTCGTTTGAAAGCGTATGCGTAGTATACTGGTTGGCCCTATTAACGTAGATTTTGGATTTTCTCGGCACCGGTCATACTTTTCAATCGAAAATTAATCATATAATACATCTCATTTTGTTTTTGATTTAAAATAATAGACATCAGATTCTTCTTTTCATTTGAGACAGTTGAGTGATTATTGATAGTCCTCTTAATGTACAGGACAAAACAGGCTAGAAGTGTAACCATAATTTCATGTTACATGCATATATAGTAGTCTCACACGATTAACTGTATGTGTGTAGCTGTGAAATTCCACTCATGCAGGTACACCTTGCACAGAAAAACGGGGGGGGGTAGTCACACCATTAACTGTATACTTCGCTCCAAATTTGATGGACTGAGCACAGGGAACAGATCCGAATGTCTTCGTCTACCACCAGTCACACGAGAGGGCTTTCGGCTGGCCAGAATTTCAAGTGCCCCATACCGCATAGACGATATACATATACAACTATCTATGCCTTTACAGGAATATTTTCCGTCGCAGGGATCGAACTTGGGCCAAAAGATGTGGCAATCTGTATCGCTAGCCATTATACCCAATAAAGGTGGCTAATTTCAGTATGCGGTATCCGAACTACCTCGGACGGAGGAAATTAGGATATTCCTTTATCAGGTTTGTTTCGATTTAAGAAAGGGAACTTATTTTTTACACATGAATTTCGGCGGTACTGTTACATTCTAATATATGTATGATAAAATCAATTTTAAAATTTCCATTATTTCTTTTACTTTAGATAATGCAAAGGAAATAAATAGCATGCATTGGTAATAACTGAATCATGTTAAATGTTAATGTCAAGGATCGGATCAGCTTAATGGTAAATGTTTTTCGGTGATCTCAGATGAGAGGGGGGAGGGAAGAATCATTCAGCATACAATAAAGAGACAAAAATTTCTCTTATGGTGCTCTGCAAAAATTTTCCAGAATTTACCAAAAGCATTGATGTGGGGGGAAAAAAAAAAAAATTTAAGTAATTCGTTTGGCGATTTCCAAAGCGGTCTTGATGTACTTGAGTTTTTGGGCTAAGTGACATTGTGTTATATGGCTTTTGTTGCAATATTAGTGACTACTTCTTAAATATGAAACTTAACAGTGTATTTAAATTGACAGAAATACTCTAATACATTTTGTGTTGCAATTTTACCATAGCAGAAAAATAAATATTGGTAGTTCGAATTCTTAAATAATAAATGCAGTGTTACTCTTAGTTCTCAGAGTTCATAATACGATTATTATTCAGCTTAATAGCTGTATAATAATAATATCAATGAAAATGATGAAAATATTATGAAAATTACAGCGATAGGCAAAGAACAAAATGCCAACAAAATTGTATTGATTAATTACTCAACATTAATTACTATTAATTTTGGATGCGTCAGTCTACTAAATGCATTAAAGCGATGGATTTCTATATAATTAAAAGATATTTAACATAAAAAAGTACGAGAAGCGATTTTCTGGTCAAATGCACACTCTGCACCAAAACAAAGGGGGGTAATAGTTCTATGGCTTCTGTTCTGCTGGGCAGATTCAGGAAATAACTTGCGTTTTTCATGTTTTGAAAGCGCGACTTAGAATATATATTAGATTTATATACAGCTCTGTTCTAACATAGGTATTTTGACAGAAAATAGGTTTTTTTTCTGAAACGGTATAGCCGATTTATTTTTCCTATTTCGATTTTACGACTCAAACTATGCCTAAATATTAAATTTTGGTGTAAAACTTACTGAGAAATTTAAAATTGTATATTGCCGCACTTTTTTCAGTTAGCGCAAATAATAATTCACTTGGCGAAATTCTTAATTTATGGTAACGACGTTTATTCCTTTAAATAATTTTTAGAAAGCGCGTAAACCATATTTGCAGTTATTATCGTTTATGAAAAATATGCCAAACTTCAAAACGAGCCAATGCATAAATCCATGTACATCTTGGGGAATTTTGAATAAAAAAACTCCTGTTTTTTTGAAGTGTTTATAGGAATACATCTACTTTAAAGCGATGGTAAAAATTTTATTGCTTATAATTCAAATTTGTTTTCCAAAAATTTATAAAAATTATAAAAAAATACGAATTTTGAAAATAAATCAAAAATATCCGCAAATTTTATTTGTACTGAACTTAAATTTTGAACTCTGAAAGAAGAAATGAAGTAAGTTTAATAAAAAAAGAGAGATAGTAATAAATATATACCAAAAATCTGGTAACTTTAAGGAGCTATTAACATTTTAATTAACATTTTTGAGAGCTCATTTTTTAAAAAACTACTCGTACGTTTTTTTATAAAACTTGCCACTTTGGCATACTTTGAGTCGTAGAATCGAAATACGAAAAAAATCGGTACTTCATTTCAGAAAATGTCCGATTTTGTGTCAAAATACAATACTATATTATAAATCTAATATATGTTCTATGTCGCGCTTTCGAGTCATGTAAAACGCTAAATAAATTTCGAACGGGGAATATAAAACTGTACAATACTTTATTTTAAAAAGTTCAGTGTACCTTTTGCCACCGTGTCTGAAACATATATTTTCTGTTCATATTTAGATAAAACATAAGTATGATTTTAACGACATTAAATATTTATATTTGAACTGTAGTAAATCTAATGGAAAGATGTATCATTAAACAGAACCGTATATATATATATATATATAGACAGAGTTTACAGAACAATGATGGGCAGTTTACGAATCAGAGGATTGAATTAAATGCCTTAATTATTGTTGGTGAAACACCAAACTAATTGTGCTTGGGTGCACAATTCATACAGATTTTGATATTTTGGAAAAAATACAACGAATATTGACGATCGTATATTAAACTGTATCATGCACATAAATTAACATATATTATAAATTCTACTATTTTAGAAATTGCACTCACATCAGTTTTGGACTTCAGAATCTTAGTGACACAAAACATATTTAATACTTATGCGTATGCGTATAATTAGTTCAAACGAGTATTGATTAAAATTTTATTCGATAATGCATTGGAAGAAAACAAAGTTATTAATTTTTTCTAAGATTTAGGAAATTTATTATGAAGAAAAATTATATAATACCTGCTACATATAGCCAAGAAAGAAGCTTGAAAATTTAATAGTTCTGGAAAGAAAGGATTATTGAATATATGTTGCAAAAATTTTAATGCATTTGGCTATGGTTACTTCTGCAGTACATATTTTTTTTTTTTTTTTTTTTTTTTGGGTGTGTGTGCGTGTGTGTGTGTGTGTACAAAAGCACCATCTTTATTTCAATTATTTAATATTTTCTTTTCGAATATGTCTCATATCTCACTTTCTCAGAATCATAACTACATCATATTAAAAAGTATTTCAAAATCCCGTTTCATATAGTGCTAAATACTTAACAATATTGCCATAGTATTTCCTTGCTAAAATTTCATTGTCCATTTTCTGTGGAATAGAACTTAAGCATGACCAGCACGTTACTTCCTTTGCTTAATATTATTTATTACCTTTAGGTTTTAATTTCTAAAATAAAATGCGCACAATTATTGCAAAGGATAAAGTAAGGAAGTAATGGAAGTTTTTTTAGGAAATAAAAAAAGCCTACATGAAAAGAAATAAGATTACTTAAAAGATGAAATTAAAAACGGGAGAGATAAAGAATCACAGACTTTTTTTCAATATTACATTACTTTTTTTTACATTAAAGTGCTTTTCACTAATTTTTTACATTTTTTAAACTTTACAAAAGATAAATTTAGCACAAATTTTGTATAAAACGTGTCCTAAGGTTAAAAGAAA